CAACTTGGAGTGTATCCCCCAAGAAAGACGGGATTTTTCGTGAAACTTCCGTTAGATTACCGCGGTCGGGAGTGAATTATAGGCGACGTGGGACACGAGGACCATTGCAATGTCAGACGCAGCGACAGGATGACTGGTGGACCGTGGACACCGTGGGACGACGCGCAATGGTGAGCGCTCAATTTAGACGTTCATATAGTAAACATAAAGCGTCACTTTACGTAGATTGCATGCATGTAGACGTAAATCGCATTGGGTCCGACGGAAAGTAAAGTAAGAATTGGAATTTGCAATTGCAAACTTAAAGAAATGGAAGTGCACGATGTAAACCAAGCCAATGCATATCAACCGCGGCGCATTCAATTATTACAATACGTTTTGTTGATGAGTATTATACCAGCTTAATATACCGTTGTTTATATATATTGTCGATATTAAAATTATCTAATAGAAAATTATTATTTGGTACGCATATCAAGTGCACGATATAAACCAGGCCAATGGCCAGAGTTAGGCGCATTTTCGAGACGCCATCTAACAAAGTGCGCCTTTACTACGTTCGTTAAGCGCATTTTCGCAGTGGTAACGATAAAATATGCCTGGTTTGTGCCCGTTGTATTTCCATACAATGATAGTAAGTTAGAAAAGAACAGATGTCCAATCGCTCTATTCTTATCTCACTACTGATGGCGGACCGCGTGATGTAGGCACGAAACGAGCTAATGGCGATATTATCACAAAACTAGGTCATCTCTTATCAGTCTCGTCTTTTTCGCGCTGCGTTCTGCGTAATTTTGCAAGGAACGTTTTGGTTCGAGTCTCGACTTGATAATTTAATTTGTTGTTTTTAAATTGTTGTTTTTAATTTGTCGAAATTTAATTTGTCGTCTTGTCTACAACAAACGCGTATGTATAAGAACATATCTCCAAAGAGATAGTATGTCGTATATAATACGACAAGTTATAAAGTATATTAATCAAATAGTATATATAGAGCATACATAGGGTATATATAAAACATATGTAGAATATAAAAAAGCATATATAACATATACAGAGCATATAAATGTGACATGTTGAAATATATCAATTTAATGTATCATCAAGAAATAATCCGACCAGAAACAAGCTTGCTTAAACCGAAATTACAATTGGCCATTGTTATGCAAGAATAATCCAATTCAAAAAATTATAAGTTTTTATCTATGGATACTCCATTCACATCTTTTTAAACCAAACAAAAAAAATTCAAGCTTTATAGATGGTTGAAATGAGTTAAGAAAGTTTTTTTAATTTTTTACCAGTCACGTTTTTTTGCACATTTTTCTAAGGATTGAACTAGTCAGTACTCTTAAAGAAATGGAAATGATTGACTCGTTAAACTATTGCAAAAATCTCAGAGCTAAATTCTTTGGTTGGATCATTCTTACGTAACTTCGATGAATTCATCGAAGTGATACGCGTACTAAATAGTAACTTTCTATTAGATACTCTTAATATCGACGATATATATAAGCAACGGTATATTAAGCTGGTATAAAACTCATCAACAAAACGTATTATATTGATAGAATGTGTCGCTGTTGATATGCATTGTAGATATTAAGATTATCTAATAGAAAATTACTATTTAGTACGCGTATCAAGTGCACGATGTAAACTAGGCCATTGTCGGTATTAAGATTATCTAATAGAAAGTTACTATTTAGTACGCATATCAAATACACGATGTAAACTAAGCCACTGACGGATCAATTTGGTGCGAGTGTATCAAGTAGGAGTATCGTACTAAACTAATACGCGTATCAAATGATACAAATGACTGCGAGACTTAAAATAAGAAGTCTAATGACTCTCGCAGCCAATGCAATGCGCAACGCGACACACGATATGCGATGAGCGATATCCAATGAGCGTACGAAAAGTATCCAATAGTAGAATTTGTTACCTAGAGTTTCTAGCTAGAGATATTTTTGTCTCCTGATAATCAATTCTCTTATTAAACATCGTACACTTAGGCTGCGTTCGCTTTGGGCGCTTATGCGCTGTAAGCGTCATTCTATCTTCTTCCCGCATGTAATGAGCGCTAAAGATAGAATGACGCTTACAGCGCGTAAGCATCCAAAGCGAACGCAGTCTCAGTTGCATTAATGCTATACCATTCACCAGATCAATAGTTACTAGAAAATGTTGACCAGCTGTGTCCGTTTCTAGCTGATTTTTTATTACTCTTAATTTATCCGACAAGCGGGAATGTGTCAAAGTGACATTTTGACAGCTTGACGTTTCATACATACATGATAATAATAATTTAATAATTGTAATTTTTTATATATATTAACTTCTTACTTACGTTTTTTAATATTCTTACTCTTCTTCTACTGATTGCGCATTACACGTGAGTGGATAACCTTTTGATAAAAACACATATGTACGAAACGTCAAGTTGTCAAAATGTCATTTCTGTTTTGACACATTCCCGCTTACCTGAGGAATCAACAGTCATGAAAAATGATCAGCTAGAAACGGACACGGGTGGTTGAAATTTTCTAGTGATTATCAATTTAATGAATGGTATAGCATCAATGCAACTGAGTGTACATCGGATGTCAGTGTGGTGTCAATCCATTATTTTAAATTCCTCTTTTATTGATAAAAATGCATATAAATGTAATTTATAAGGGCTCAGATATGTATAAAAAAACTTAAACAGTAAGGCGTAAGTAGTAAGCAAATTAACCAATCACAGTCGATTATTTTCCTCATGTTTGACTGTGATTGGTCCATTTTTTAAGAGTTTAAATCAACTAATCCATATGGTCCAATCGATATAGGCATAAACAGCATGTTCGACTGGCTCTGGGTTAACCCATTCTGAATTATTTAGTCTACGTTTATTGGTCGAACAAGTACTTATAAGCTTTATGATTGGCTAATAGAGACTTTGACGTCATTAATCGCTCTCGGAGCGATTAAAGCGGGAAGCATACATTCTTGCATAAAGGCATAATGCATAACGCATAAGATAATTAACTAATCAGAATCCTCATTTCTATTGCCATGATGAAAATGAAAAACTCTGATTGGTCAATTTTATTATGCGTTATGCATTATGCTTTTATGTAAGAGTGTGTGCTCCCCGCTTAACCTAGGGCTAGTCGAACACGCTAAAAGAAAAGCTATAATCGGTGTACATAGCGCTTCAGAGCATTTGAAGTGTCTAATGGATTATATCCACTATAGACGCTTTCATCAATAAAAGAGCGTTCAAAATAAGTCCGGATCTACAATAGGTGTAGTAAGCTTTAAGTCTTAAAAAATTGACCAATCACAGTGGAATTATAGAAGAATAATTAATTGTGATTGGTTAATTTCTTACGGCTTAAAGCTTACTACACCTATTGTAGATCGGGACTAAGGGCCGATTTCATCAATTCCGGTTAAACCAACCTACGGTTAAATTCTAACTACCACAAGTGCCAATATCGAGATTGAATATAAATTGTTCATTGAAGTTCAGTATGATACTATGGCACGTCGCATTTAAGGGTGCGTTCAGATTCCTCATCCGGGTGCACTCTATTACTAGAAACACTATAGTATATATGACATATACTATAGCACTTCTAGTAATAGAACACATCCGGGTGGGGAATCTGAACGCAGCCTAAGTTGGCTACTCTACTACTTTTAACCCTCGGTTAACTTAACCGAAGTTGGTGAAACCAGCCCTAAGAGTCAAAGGCTTGTATTTTGAGTTCTCTTTTAACGATAAATGAGCCTCTAAAAGAGGCTTAGGAGCCATCTGATTGGCTGAGAAGCTACATTTAAGGCACGTTTATCGATACAAGAGAATTCAGAATATGGGCCACAGAATATAACGAGTCTAGGGACTTGTTACGATTCGTAGATCCATTATTTTGATTGGTTCCCGAAGTGTCGATACGCTCTTCGAGAGTATCGATACGCTTTCGAGAAACTCAATTGCTGCGATATTCAGTCAGTTACGGAACAGATTACGGCGCGAGTCACGTTCGAAAAGTCGTCTCGTATTTCTCGCGATTTCGGCTAGTTGATGTCGAGTTTCATAAAATATCCTTCACGGTGATGTCGAACGTAAGTTTTGCGCATTCGTCGTGATGTAGTATTGTTGAACAGACGTCGAAATGAACAAAACGGGCGTGTCGGGAGTGTTCAGTGAAAAGTTTGAACATTCGTTGCGTTATGGCGACTCAACGATCCACGTCATTGCGAAGTTTCGTATCACCGAAGAAGTGTCGTCAGTCACTTACCACCGAAAATAACGAAAGTAAGTTTCTCGCATCTATATCGTCCGAAATATCGTAGTACACGTTGACCGTCCTTCTGATTGGACGTACGTATCTTTTATCTCGTTTCGTCGGCTTTCTATCAGCTACCAATTTTGTTTGGATGCACATAATTATTCCTTATAGTCTCGTATTGCGTTGGTTTTAAACAACCAATTTCTTTAGATACACATAGAGGCTGCGTTCGCTTTGGATGTTTTGTAATAGCTTCATTCTATCTTTATTATTCATTATGCATTGAAGAGAAGGACAGAATGATGCTTTCAGTGCGAAGGGATCCGAAGCGAATGCGGTCTTAATTATATGTTATATATACTAAAATGTTACCCTCGATTATAATTGTAACACAATGAAATGTTGTTACGAGATGGGATCTATTAGTATCACAGTGCCGATCCCCGTTGATATTCACGGCATTCATTCACGTGGCTGAAGGTTCAAGTCAGGAAGAGAGAAACGGGAAGCGAGGAGCACATTGTAGATCAGGCTTGAGAGTAAATTCGTCGATGTCACTCGTCTCTCGACGTGTATCCACTGTCAATAGGCTCCGTGCGATTCTCGCGAACGACGCGCTCTCTTCTCGGAAGCTGCCGCAAGATGGCAGTCGGATGCTTTCGTTCGCTCACGCCACTTTCTTGATTTTTTGCTTCATTCCGTCGCTCGATGGGGGTCTGGACCGAGAGTGGTCGGGATCTCGGGATGCTGGACTGCATAAACGCGGCAACTGTGTTAGCGGTAATTGACAGCTGCCGAAAAGCAGCAACGGCGGCGGCTGCGAGACTCGCGACGACGCCGAGCGGCGCGCGCGCGCGCGCGGGCGAGCGAACGAGAGAGAGAGAGAGAAAGAGAGAGCGAGCGAGCGCGTGATATCACGGGAGAGAGAAAAATCGCGGCGCGTACGTAGGCGACATTTCGAACTCGGAAGTGATATCTCCGTTCGTCCATCCGCGCGTCGTCGTCGTCGAGGTCGTTCGGTGGCTACGGATCGCCCATCGGATTGGGTCGTATCTCGGCGACGCGCGAGATCCGCTGTGCCGTGCGACAGAGAGACTTCTCTTTAAAGGCCCGGGCGTGTGTTTACAGTTCCGCGCGGCCACGCTTGGCCATCTCTCGCGTGCTGACGCACGCATCCAATTTCCTAAGAAAGAGAGAAAGAGAGAGAAATAGAAAGAGAGAACAAGGGAGAGGTCTGTCCCTTTCAGCCGCTCTTTCTCGTATTTTTCATTCTGACAAATAGACAAGTGTGCTTGCCTCGTCGCACGGGGAGAGCAGAGAGAAAGCGAGCCTCCAGCTTGCGCCGCGCGATAAGAGGACCGGTGTTGGATCTTCGGATTGCTCGCGGAGTGACTCGAGATCTCGACGGAGAAGTCGACACGTGGTAACGTTGTTACGTTGCACGAAAACGATCAGGACCGTGTGTTCGTCGCTGTGAGCTGTAAAAGAAAAGAGCGAGAGAGTAAATAGATGAAAGAAAAGCCGTCGATTACGTTTCAGACATAAGACTAAAGTAAATAACGGAACATCGGTCGTCGTGTGTCCGCCTCAAGTGGGTTTTACGTTTCAACAGTTTCACGGACTCGTGTGACTCGAGACATATCGATCGAATGGAAATTGTGCAAGCCACGGGGAAAAGCAACACGACATTTTATTCCGACGATTCCGAGGCGATCTTTGCATCACACGGAGGGGATACTTCTCTCTAGATTCTGCTGGTGTGCAAATGACATCGTGATCGTTCTCGGTATGTCGACGTTGATCCTTTTCGTTTGCTCTTGATGGAAAATATCGCCGTTGACACAAGAGAGGGAATGAACGATGCGCTAGTAGAAAATGCGGCTGAGGGGAACACACCTGTTGTTTCAGACGGCGGCGCGACGATGTGAGTGAGACGAGAAGAAGATTCGTCTGGGAAAAGCCCTTCGGCACGGCTCTCGGCTTCGCGAGAGCGTAGTTCGGTTTTCCTCGACCACCCAGATGTGTGGTCGACTGCGCGAGGATGTTCGTGCGCTCCTTTCTGTCAACGCGTTGAACGACTTTCGGTAAGTCCCGTCTGGTATGCATCCACGATCGTTAAGCCCATCTCGAAACGCCTATTCTGCAGCTCTTAGCGCAGATCTACAATGTGCTCTTTGCTCTCTGCTTCTTATTCTCTGGTTTAAGGCTTTAAGTTTGAGCCAGAGAGAAAGAAATAAAAAGAAAGAAACAAAAAGCAAAGAACACATTGTGAATGTTTTAACGTTAAGTGTCGTTATCGTTACAATGTTGTTACGCAGTCACTTTACAGAGGCATAGAAAATATATTTAGGAAATAAAACATATTGATATTCGGCGAGTACTAATAACACACTGAAAAATTGATATTCTTGTGCTTAGAAAAATCCTCTAAAATAGGCAAGTGTAAAATAGGCAAGTGTAAAATATTCTAAACATAAGATTTATTCCTCTTGTTTTGAGAGAAAATTCTGTACACAGAGACAAGAGTTTCTCAAAACAAGAGGAATAAATCTTATATTTAGAATATTTTATACTTGGTGTCTATTTTAGAGGATTTTTCTAAAAACAAGAATATTAATTTTTCAGTGCATGTTTACAATTATACCAATATATAAAATAGTTTCCAAGTAAGAAAATGTACATTTTCTTAAAACCTTAGTTTTTCATGAGATTGTTTATACTATTTAAATAAGAAAATTTAGATCTAATATGTTATTAGTATCCACGCCGAATAGATGTTTTATTTTTTAGATATATTTATTAAATTTCCTTTTTTTAGATTTTTTCTTTTCAGATTAATTTTTCAGATCTCTTTTCTCAGAATACTATATGTTGTATCTACGCAACAACAATGTAACAATAATAATGCTGTTATTAAAAGTTATAGAATAAGCAGATTGGAGATCGAGGATTGCGGATTAGAAATTAGGATTCAATGAATCAATTTATTTTTTTTCTTGATTCGCTTTGCTCGACTGGTTCATTTTTAATATTCAATCCGCAATTTTCTATCTTTCATATCTAATCTGTGATGCGAGATTTATATTATATTTGACTCTCACATGAATCGTGACTCGGATTCGTGAAAAAATTATATACGTGATGCTCGAACAGTTTCTGCTCCATTTGAATCTGAGGATTCGTTTATTTTTCACAAGGGAAAAGAGGGAAATGTAGTAAATAACTTTGTTTATCGTCGTACAGTGTTGGGCAATCGATAAAATTTTTCTTTGACTAAAATAATCGGCAAATCAATAATTAAAATTAATATATCGTGTCATATACAAAATCACAAATAATTTTATTAGTCCATTAAATTATTTGTGATTACTTGTATAATGATTGATTAATCTTGATGATTGATTTGCCGGTTACTTTAATAAAAAAAAATTGTAATTGGTCAATGCCCAACATTATTATCGTATACATTGCATTCTTATGTTCACATGAGTTTAATGCTTGGAAAGTCATAAACGCAAGAAGAGTCCCACTGGAAGAATATACGTTTAGAATCGAAATGTCTTGAGAGAGAGAAAGAAAGACTATCGATTTCTTAAATTCCGATTTTGTTTCCTAAAAGAAGCCCGCAACGATCTCGAATAAAATCGAAGTAATAATAATTCACTTTTATTAACAAACACGACGTCGATACATAGATTGTCTCGGACTCGGTGAGTCGTCTCATATAGTTTCTCTTATCAATTTTATCGGGATCGATATGTCCTCGACGAAAATATACTCGAATAAGATTGCCGTCTATCTTCAATTCGCATTCGTATCTTTTCGATTGAGTCGCGAGAAATTGGATTCTGTGGGACTAAAATTCGATTAGTCCTTCGTCTTTAATTGAGTCCTCTGAGGGTTCACCTTACTAACATTTATTAGCGATTCTAAAAAAGACAAACAAATCCGCCAGTACTCCGATTCCTCCAACGTTGATCCGTTTTGGTCGTACACAATTCTTTTTTTCTCTTTCTCCGCCTCTCGCGGTCGCAATGTGCTATAAGAGCTGGAGAGTCAATTAAACCACGGTCAAAATTAATCGCGGAATCGAGTCCTCGGCCCGCGCCGAAAGGGACGAACGGCCCATCAAAGCGGCGCGCGCGACGCTCGGGCATCACGCGCCACCCGTAAAATCTCGCGATCGTGAAATTCGCCGATGCCGTCGGTAGGATTGTGCCAGGTGTCGCGCGACATTCGCGATGAAGCGAGAGCGAGAAAGAGAGAAAGAGAGGCAGACAAAACTGGTGGGAGAACGAGCGAACGAGCGCAAGAGAGAAATATGTAAATTTTGTCCGGTTAGAGAAACAAGGTGCGCGGATTCTCGCGTACGCGCGCAAGAGAAAGAGAAAAATGTCGCCGATAGAAGGGATAGAAAGAGAGAGAGAGAGACAGATGGGAGGGAAGCATGACAAGAGGAAGAAAGAAGCGCTATAGGGAGGTAAAGCGATGGCCAAGGCGCGGACGGTGGATATCGCGTTGAAGTGCGCAGAGGGAGAGAGCAACAGTGTGCAAGGGAGAAAGACAAAGAGAGAAGAAGCAAAAGGAGAAGAGAGACAGAGCCGGGTGTATGTACAAGGTATAGGCTTTAGTTTGGGCAGTCCTCTCTCTCTCTTGGAATGCGGCGGTCGTGGGACGGACGACCGCGTGCACTCCATGCACACAACGACGAATATATATATATATATATATATATATATATATATATATATATATATATATATTTGTATTTATATATGTGTACACACACATATACATATTTGTTAAAAAATATATATACACATCTATACGTATATATAACTATACATACACATACACATATCGTGTCACAACGCATCGTGTCGCATTGTATACAGTGTGTCTTCTAAGCATATATAAAAAATATAGGAGATGATTCCTCACATCAAAATAAGAAAAAAATGTATATAAACATATTCCTTAAAATGTGCTTTATTTCCGAGATGTAGGCCCCAGAAAGAGTGGCTAAAAAAATATATTTTGCGAGTAAAAAGTCAACGGTGAAATATAAAAATTTTTAATGTGAGTGAAATTTCAATCATGAATATCTAGTACTGATAATAGATCATACTTTGAGTTGGTTTTCGTTTCTAGAAAATAGATTAAAGGAAAAAAGTAGGGAATGACTGTCCTTATTTTGTATACAACTTTCTTACACTCACAGATATACAATCTTATTTTCGGAATTCTCAGACATTTGTACACAAAAGAAATATTCTTTTGTCAGAGTTCGCTAGCACACGTCATTATTGAAAAAATGTCTTTCATCTTTGAGAGAATAAAAAATAAGAAAAATACTAAAACTAAATTTTCTATATTTCACCAGTTTTTATATTCGCAAAAAGAAACATTTTTCACAGCCACCCCCTTTTAGGTGGTACATCTTGCAAATAAAACATTTTATCACGTAAAAGCTTTTTCTTAATCCGATGTGAGGAATCACCTCTTGCATTTTGTACTTAGGAAACACCCTGTATTCAACGCCGTTGCGTACACGACGGGTTCCAGCACCGCGTCAAGAGTACTCCGTGCCCCGAGCTCGATTGTATTTTCGGTCCGCGCCCACGCATAGAGATGCGTGCTGGACCAGTAGCGGATTTGGAGCACTCGGCGCCCCGAGCGGGAGCGATTTCACTCGTACGACCGCGTCACACCTCCACGTGGTGGATCTTCTCTGCGCCTCTTCTCAGATGTACTTTCCACGCGCTCGATCACGTCGATTCTTCCCTCTCCTTCCTCTTGTTGAAACTCGACGTGTACGCTGATCTCGTTCTAACATTCCAGTGGTCGAAATTCATTGTAGAATTTTACTTTTATTTATTGTTTAATTTAAGTCTCATTTCTTTTGTTATTTTTACATTACTTTTATATTTTTTTATCTTGCCTAATTCTCTTTTTTTCTTTCTTGTTTGCTATATTTCTTTTTTGTATAATTAAAGAGAGGTTATATATTTATGAATAAGTAAATAAATAATCTCCTACTCGTGTCTTTCGTAATGTTCGACCGTGTAACTCTCGGAACGCGTTCAAATCTTCTTTCAAACCGCGTTTGATTACATTCATAGCACAGTGCCATAGTGCCTCCGTTTCTGTTTTGACCCGCGTCAATCGTTTCGTCGGGCCTTTCCCGATCCGCGACCGCAGACCATGTTTCTTCCGAGATCTAGTTGCAACGACACTTCGATTTAATTCTATCGTTTCGCTTCTCGAAATTGCGTTACATTGAGAGTAATTATAGATAAAAAATTAATAAACGGATATTTTCCATCAGAATGCCGATGAATTTTTGTATCCGATCAGGTAACATTCGATAAGAAATATCGGTTCATAATTTGTTGATCGTTTTATATGCCATTATAAAAGTATCCGATAAAATTTAATCGGATATAAAAATTCACCGGTACTTTGATCGGAAACATCCGTTTGTTAATTTTTTATCGGATAATTTCTCTCAGTGCATGTATTTTTCTGCAAATGTACACATTAGAGACTGAGAGTTGCGAATTGAAGATTGGGATTCGATCGATCGAGCGCGAAGCGAGTCGAGATCGAAATCGCTCGATCGGTGGAGTCCTAATCTGCAATTCGCCGCGCTCCATCTTCAATGTGTTGTCTGATACGGGTTCGAGGGGTCCGCGCTCATCAACGGCTTGAACGAGACGAGTCGGACGAGCTGTCAGGTGTCGCTTCGCGAAGGCGCGTCGTCTTGTTGTACGGCGCGGTCGGCCGTACATTTTAACCGTATACTCGAGTGACTTATTTTTACCCGATCTCCCGACGAAAGAGTCGACAAACGTGAACGTGGAAGGTCCAACGAGTTTTACGGTAAATTTCCCGCCGCAAAAGTGTCGTCAGTCGCTTCGAGTGCGGTGCTTCTTGATCTCTCTCGATACCGGAATTTCTCTCAATTTTTCAGTTCGCGAATTTCTCGAGGAGTTTGTTCTCGCTGTTGGCTCGCGAGAGAAAGAGAACGAATAGGAGAAAGAGAGGAGAAGGAGAGAGACGGAACTCACGGGCTTATAAATGC